TCCATAGTACTCCCCCGGAATGGGTAAAGGATGTAGCTATAATTTTGGGACAGCATCGAATTTACATTCATTCTGATCCCACAGAAGTTAAAGTTCTTACTCAATATATTAATTTTATAAATAGCTTTCGTAATGAGATATAACCAGCTACCTTTAACCATTTGATGTACTATAAAGTTTATAGTCGAGTTAACTTAAGTTACAACCCTGGTTTCAAACTCTACGACTATAATATTAACATGGAAATTTTTGTCAAAGCAAGAATTCCTCATGTCATTAAGCCTCCTCCAGAGATTGAGATACCTCCAGAAGTTGAAGAAAAAATAAATGAAGAAAAAATGTTACTGGAACAGTTCGACCTCACTTATAGAAATGAAGAAATCAGCTCACCAGACAGCACTGATGACTATTTGGCACGCGTACACAGAAAGGACAGCCCACCAGATAGTGTTTCTGATAGAAATTTGTCCAATATGCAAGAATTCTAAAGAAAAAGCAGATTCACCACAGCCACAGTGTACAGATAAAAGCAAATCCATCGAAAGTAGATTTCCAACAGTGTACAGATAAAAGCAAATCCACTGAAAGTAGATTCTAAACAGTAAAAGTATATCAGATTCTTCAAAAGACGACATCAATAGTCTAGCAATAATGTAGGCCATCTTATCTCTAAAGTATCTTATATCTCAACCATTCATGCAGCATCTTCAATCTTAGCCGAAGATTCATCTCTCTTCTTTCCTATAAAATGAGCTTCTCTTCTCAAGCAAGGGGCATCGAAGTTTTAGAGCAATCAAGTCTAGAACCATCAAGCATTTCTTCAATTTCCAGTGTGTTTCTTTTGTGACTTCTTTCAGTTTTCTTTATTTCAGAGTGTTCTCTTTCTGTAAAATATTTTGTGAGCGAGTATCCATGTACAAATAGTGTGTATCTATGTATATATTTCTTATGAAATAAATCATCCAGTTTGTTTTCATTCCAAGAATTTTCTTATCCCTATTTAGTATTTTAAGTACTTTCGGGCAAAAGACTTCTGTCAACAAAAGATCAAATATATAAATTTTATTTAGCCAGACAGTGTAGATCCTAGAATTTTCTTGAATCCAACCAGTACAAGCAGTTTTAGTTTTAATTTAACAATTTCTTCTGTGAGTTGACTCGAACTGTTGGCTTGTTGACCCGTTCTTTACCGATGTTCAGGCGTTTCTGTAGGGCGATATCAGAGCGATATCAGGTTCGGCAGTCATTTCTGTGATTTAATTGTTATTTTATCTCTATGTTATTTTGCATGCTTTTATTTGGTTAGATCCAACTCAATTTTGGTATCAGAGCATATACTATTTCGTTAAATTTAATTTATATATAAGATCTCTTGTCTAAAGAAGTCTATAAATCCATAATAGCCCACTGAGAAACTTTAATTTAGTTAAAAATAAAAAAATAAAAATTTTAAGGTGTTCCGTAAGCTTATTTCATGTTTTAAGGTTTTTATGTTATAATAAAATATAGTTTGGGTCATTGTAGCATTATAAATTGTTGTGTGGTCCATAATAGAATTATAGTTCATTTTGAAGAAATAGTACACTGGTCCATCCATTTCTAAGAAAAAGTTGGTTTGTTCTCTCATTTTCCATAAATAACTCAAGTTTGACTTCATCGCCTTGTAGTATTTGGGCCTTAAGCCCATGTATTAGTAAAAATCCCTTGTTTATAAGCACTTTTACTCACATACTATTTAAATATGGTCCTATTTGTAATACAACAAAAATAACTTGTCATTTATTGAAATTTTCCTTTATATATTTTGTATGAGTTTTTAATTTTTATATATATATTTTACATGCAGCAATAAAAATGTCACATATATGCAGTAAAAGTTTTACGTACATGTAATAAACACATTTACATTATGGAGTAAAATAGTGGGGCAAGTGGCGCAATAATTCTTCTACAAGATCTAGTGTCTTATTGCACTGATGCAACATTGTATAATTAAAAAAAAAAAAAAAAAAAAAAAAAAAAAAAAAAAAGAAATAAAAAAAAAAAAAAATTAACGCATTGCATGTGTGAGAAGATACCACCGGGCGGCAAAAGCTACACATGGTGCACTGTTATAATTTATTTTATTTTTTATTTATTATTATTATTATTATTTTTTAAGTATGGGTGCATCTTTCTTGCACAAGAGCAACATGTTTTTTTTTTTTTTTTTTCCCTCTTTATATATTTTTATCTCTATATATTATATATGTGTAGAGAGAGTAAGACAAGCTTAGGAGAGCAAAATGATTTTATTTTATTGTTTGGGTGGGTTGGGGCGTTTTGGAAATTTTTGAGATAGAAGTAGGGTAATTGAATGAAAAAATGCAAGAGGTGCTTTGGAGAAAAGCTTAATTGAGCCGGCTGTATTAAGTAATATGGTATCACCACTATCATATAATAATAGGATTCGCTAAAATAAAACACTTTTATTTATGTAACATGATATATTTGGTTGATGGCATAGGTAACGAAGTATTAATTAGAGGGGCAAGGAAGTCTTTCTTGGCCTTCGGACCTAAGGTGTTGTTTGATAAAACTGAAAATTAAGCACAAAAAATTTAAAGTACTGAATTTTAAGCGTTGAAATTTTAAGTGCTGAATATATTAATTTGTAAACATGTTTGATATTGTATTAATTTTAAACGTTGAATTCATTAAGATTGTTTATTAAATGCAAAAGCTGAAATTTGAATGTTATATATATTACATTTTTGCCTTGAATATCTTTCACACATAATATTATTATAAAAGATATTATATTAAAACATAAACATATATATAAAATAATAAATTTCACCAAAGAAATATATCAATTTAACAATCCATATTAATGTCAAAATTGATCATAAAAATTTCAAAATCAGCATATAAAATGAATTACTTATGAAAATAAAATATTTATGAGAATGAGATTAGAATTCATGCACAAATCATTCGATTTTTATTTATATAGTAGATTTGCATCATAAGAATAGTGCGAGGGTTTTTACGACCTTACCTCAACAGGATCTGTTCTATAGGCTTGTACCTCTGCATCCTTGATTACTAAGGAGACAGGAACCTAAGTCCGGTGGATGAACCATGACTTATAAAAAAACAAAAAAACAATGGTGCAAGGGTTCCATTGCATGATTATTGATTATGAACTTGGGTGGACCATGCAGTATCTCTCTCTATATATTGATTTATTTATATTTTGTTGAATATTATTTATTTACATTATTTGAGAAGAAAAGTACAATGAAACAAGTAAAGATCCATCGGAAGATATAAATGCAAAGTGGAAATAGAAAGTTCATCAATACGTTTAATTTCAAGAGTAGTATCAATACGTTTAATTTCAAGAGTAGAACAAGTGATGGAGAACCTAAAAATATAATATTTGAGGGTAACATTGTCATTAATAAAATATTTTAAAACCTAAAATCACTTATTGGTCTTTTGCAATAAGCGTTAAGTAATTTAGCCTGTTTTAAGTTACTGCGTAATATTTTAAGTGGTAATCAAACACGCTAATTTTAAAAATAGCACCAAATAGCAATAGCAAACAGGCCCTAAGTCACATAATTCTTTGGGTTAATTTCACTGACATTCTTTCTGACAAAATATCACGTTGAAATAACTTTCGAAAATTACTACATTACAAACGTTTGGTTTGTTTTTCACTTGTATTACAAAAATTACTTTTTAGTTGTGTCGGATCATTTTTACTTGTAAAAAGACATTGTTATCATTTTAATTTTTTGTTGACTCACCAAAAAGTTGTTTCATATATAAAAGGACTTAATCTCTCTCTCTCTCTTTCACTGGTTTACGCGCGCGTATGTGTGTGTTTTTTGTTTTTTTTTTTTGATACACTAAATTATAACCAAGTTTTCAGAGCAACTATATTCCATATATATATATATAATTTTATATATCATAACAACAAAAAAATAAAAAATAAGACTAATAAAACCCATATGTAAAAGTGATTAGTACAAAATTTCACTGAGATATTTTTCTAAAAAATAGTAATAGGCAATCTTTGCGCCAAATGTTGGCAATCTTGTAAAGAAAAACAGAGGGCGCAATAGAGATCCTCACTCGCCTAAACAAAATTTTCAACTTAAAATAGCAACAATTGTTTGTTTTGGCTTTTGATTTTGTAGTAGCAACACTTGTTATTATTTGGGTACATGTTTACTAATTTGTTTGTGTTGTTTTGCAGTGGAAAGATAATTTATTTATTTATTTTTCAGTTTAGAAGATGAATTAGAAAGAAGAAGAAAAAAAAAAAAAAAAATTGTTACATTTAGCAAAATTGTGAAAGAGGAGAGAGAAGTGGGTGGTGAATGAGGGGTAAAATAGACATAATAATTAGGTGATATTTTGAAATAAATGATATTAAAAAATTAGGAGCAAAATTGTCTTTTTGCACGATTTTGACGGTGGGAATTTAAGTGACAGTAATTTTCGAAAGGTGTCTGAAAGTGATATTTACCTAAATTTGATGGAATGTCGGTGAAATTAACCTTAATTTTTTTAAATTTCTCGTTCTCACGCTCCGGTGTGCTTTGGCTCTAATTTCCATTCGGTGTGACTTAAATTGTCACTTTCGCGATTCCACTCTTGCAATTGCTCTTATTTCGTTTTCATTGTATGTGGCTTAACTATGTAACATGAAAAAATATAAATAGTATTTTTTTATAATTAATTTGAAAAATTTAATGGTCAAGCCTACTAATTTGAAAAATTAGCATATTTTAAAAAAGGCTTAATTGAGGAATGTATTTTAAAAATTTTCCTTTGCAGTGGGGAGTGTAATGCTGCGTAGCACTTCTCATTTCACTAAAAATTGACCGTTTTATTTGGTTTATTTTATCATATCATGCAATAATATCACATAAACACGCCCAAAAACTATATGATATATAAAATTGACCGTTTTATTTTTGTTTCCTTATCATACTATCATGTAGTAATAACACACATATAATATAAAATAATTAAATTACTTTCGGAGGAGATAGAGTTGAGAAGAGAAGGATTTGATTTTACATTCTTCTGATCCCGAAACTCTGCAACCCTAATAAGTGAATGCCCATCATTGCGTTCGTCATTCTTATTTCTCCCGCTGTTGATTTCATTCTGTGTATGTATATATATATATATATATATATATTATATGTTTGTAAACGTCGTCTCAGCTGCTGTTTCTTCACGAATCGTTGGCTTTGATTGGATCCTCAGACTCAGAGTCAAATCAAGTACTTCAAAGGCATTGGCATTGGTATTGTAGAGGTGTGAGATCTGCATATTCACATTGCTTTTAATGCTTCATTTACTGCCTATCTAAAACAATAACCTTGCGAAACTCTCAAAATTTCGTATTTTAATTTCATCAAAATTATTTAATTTCAATTTCCAAAAAAAAAGAAAATGTATTTAATTTCCCATTTGATTTGCATTTGTGTTGCGTTGTTCATTTAGGTTTTTTTTTTTTCTTTTTTTTTTTTTTTCTGTAGCTCAATTTCGTGTAGATTGATCTTCTGCAATAGTAATCTTCTAATGAATTAATTATGACGCGGTGGGAAGATTTTCTATGACTCTAAAATTATGTCACATATATTTATGTGTTTATATATATATATATATATATATTCGGATTCCCAATTTGGTCTCTTTCTCTCTTCCCCTGAATTTTCTGGTGTCTGTAATGTCATATATATATATTTGTTGGAAAGGTAAACTGTAAGAATTATGTTCAATCACAAATTGGCAATGCCATAGTACAAAGGATCATGGAAACCCCAAGTCAATGTCAGTACTTTTGTCATTCACAATTTCTTTATATGTGAACTAATGGTGTTACTCTGCAGGGAGGATATTGATGGGTATTTCCATCTCACTTTCTTCAACTGAGTTTTTATAAAGAAAGTTGACGGTACAAATGCCAGGAAGCGCAGAATGGAGAGAGAATGAGAATGCGATGGCAGTTCGAGAAGTCTGCGCAAATGGGCTTTGTATGAAAACTGCTGAAGTCGAAGCAAAACTTGATGATGGAAATATTAATGAGGCTGAATCTTCATTACGTGAGGGCTTATCGCTCAATTTTGAGGTTGGGTTCTGCAACCTTCTTAAATTTGCATTATCATTTTCCAAGGAAACAACAATTTTTTTTTTTTTCTTCCAATATGTAAGGAAACAACATTTCTATTTTACAAACACTATAATACTCCACCTGTATAGCACCAACAAACACAATATGATGTGAATGCACCAACAAGTATTTTTTTAGGAGAGTAGACAAGTATACCGCTGCTACCACTCTTTATTTTTTCTATTTTCATAGTTATGTTACATGGACTCGGCTCTATCTGTTGAGTGCAGGTATGAATCCAAGCGTCATACATGTTGAATTCCCAAACAGAAGGAAACAAGTTACTGCCAAATTTTCATATAATTCTTAATCAATTTTCTAAATAAAATAATTTCTCTATGTAGCATAGTTCTCAATATTAGCATTTAAGTCATTTTAAAGCAATAGAAAAATTGAACTATTGGATACGTTTTTAGATATAGTTTTCAATATAGGCATTTCAGTTATTTTAAAGCAATAGTGTAACAAAATTGAACTATTGGATATGTTTTTAGGGTTGCATGTCCAACCAAAAGAATTGGACACATATTTTATATCTATGTCCTAGTATTGTGTGTCCTACATGGGTACATCACCTGCTTTTGAAGAGTCCGTGTAACATAGCTCCATATTTAATATATATATATATATATATATATATATATATATATATGTTATGTTGCAAAGTGTCTATTTATTTAGAGGCCCCATTTGGCCCGTGTTTCTTTTGCGGGATGCGTTCCCTGTTTGAATGCTTTCTAATACAATCTTACTTATAAAAAAAAAGAAAAAAGTGTCTATTTCAGGATTGACTTTTTGTGGCCATGTGTATGTTACACGTGTGGACCATTTCCAACGTGGTTAGTGTCAAAGGAAGGTCATATCTGAGATAGTTTTAGACATGGAAATGGTTCTGATTAAGAAGTGTGAGTGCTTCATAGCTCTCCAACTTCATCCTTAATAAGTAGGATATACCTATAGTGTGCTTGCAGCAAATTGAGCATATGCCTTTTCCATATCTAGTAACTCCAACCTCACCTGCCCCAAAACCCTTGATTCTTAAATTTCTTATTTCTTTTGGTGTTGCTAGCAGTGGCGGAGCAAGGAATTTTCTCCTATGGGGGCAGAAAATTTTGAAAAGTGATAAGATAATAAATTTTTTAAAACTGAAATAATAGATAAAAGAACCTAAATATTGACAGATAATATTTCTATTAATATATTCATAATTGTAGAGAACAAGTCCTAATGTCTGAAATCGTTGCACGAGTGCCTCATTGTCGATACCATTTTGTGGTTATACAAAATTATAACAAAATCTGTGTCTCTCTATTTTATAAAGCAAAACTCAGTTTTGCATAACCAGGAAGAATGAGTGAAAGAAGGGGATTAGAATTTCTTGTGTGTTGGCTTAAGGTCAAGAAATTGGATAAAACTAGGAGACTTCTAAAGTTCTCTCATTGGAACTTTTGAGTGGAGATAGTAAAAGAAAGACCAAATGGAGGGTAGGAACTTGCTATGGATTGTGGAGAGAAACTTATAGACACTTTGTGAGACGAAAAATAAATCCAAAACTGAGAAAAGAAGAACCTAAGAATGATTAAAAGTTGAGTTTTTTTTTTTTTTCTTTTCTTTTTTCTTTCTTTCTTTTTTTTTTTCCTGAAAATTTTGAGATGGGTGCATATTCACAATTTCAAAACAATATAGGTACAATTTTAAAATAATAATAATAAAAAAATGTTGAGCGGGGAAACTGCCCCCACTGGGCCCTTCCTTACTCCACCAGTGATTGCTAGTAATTAAAGACTGATTGCTTTGGGATTTGATGTTCTTAGAAGCTCAACACCTGCACTTATAGTTGAGTGTCTTTGTGCTAATGTTTCTATCAATATTACTTATATGTTTGTGAATATGTTCAAAATCTTATTAGAAGAAATTAAGGAACTGGTTAGTTGCTCTTTTAAAAATAGTCATTTGCTTTCATAAGCAAAAGAAGTGTTTTTTCTGCTTCAAGAAAAAAGGAAGAACTTTTCTGAGTGGAACCAAATGGTGATTTAAAGTAAGTGAAGCAGGGATTCTTACTAACCAATCATCGATCAATCGCTCCTATTTAGATGGAAATTACTGCACAACCAAAGATTCTTGCCTTAAAGAGTGTTACTTTTTTCATAAAAAAATGCTCTTAAAATTATGGCTTATGAATGTTCTTTATGAAGCACACAATAATGGTCCTTGTTGACAAAGAGTCACTCGAATTATTTAATAGCCAAATCCTATGAATAACTTCATCACTGAGGTTCAACATGTATAGTGTTCTTTTCAACTGGATACCTCGCCAGATTAAAATCCTTCCATCCTCTGCGTCTATTGCTTAATCCCGTACTCCCTTCATCTATACTTCCCATTCCTTTTGTCATTCTATTTATACCTATTGCCAATAATTTTTGTGGTCTCTATCTCTTCTCTGTCTCATCCCTTCCAATAATTTGATCACCAATTTCAATTTGTTCTTATTGTTAAAAAAATAACAGGAAGCACGGGCACTGCTTGGAAGGTTGGAATATCAAAGAGGTAATGTTGAAAGTGCTCTTCGTGTGTTTGACGGTATTGATCTTCAAGCTGCTATTCAGAGATTGCAACCTCTGGGTGAAAAACAGCCTTCTAAGAAGGGTCGTTCTCGCACTGAGTCTATGCACGTGGTCTCACAGCGCACTGCTAGCCTGGTGCTTGAGGCCATATATTTGAAATCTAAGTCTCTTCAAAAGCTTGGGAGATTAACTGGTATGGATCTATTCCAACAATTTATTGTTTAATTTCAGGAAGACCCTCTTTTATCCTTTGGTTCTTTTTTCCATCCTTCTAGTATAGAATTAATTACAAAGCTCTATTTTGCTGGATTTTTTAGAGGCTGCCCATGAGTGTAAAAATGTGCTTGATGCGGTGGAGAAGATATTCTATAACGGCATACCTGATATGCTAGTAGACAATAAGTTGCAAGAGACAGTTAGCCATGCTGTGGAGCTCCTTCCAGAGCTCTGGAAGCAGGCTGGTCATTATCATGAAGCAATGTCTGCTTATCGACGTGCACTCCTTAGTCAATGGAACCTTGAGAATGACTGCTGTGCAAGTATTCAGAAGAGGTTTGCAGTGTTCTTGCTATACAGTGGAGTGGAAGCTGGCCCACCCAGTTTAGCTGTTCAAATTGATGGCTCATATGTACCTAGAAACAATCTGGAAGAGGCAATACTACTTTTGATGATTCTCATGAGAAAAGTTTGCCTTGGTAAGAGCAAATGGGATCAATCCGTAATGGAGCACCTTACATTTGCTCTATCTCTGTGCAGCCAGACTTCTGTTTTAGCAAGACAACTTGAAGAGGTCATGCCTGGAATATTCCATCGTGTTGACCGTTGGAAATCATTGGCACTTTGCTATAGTGGAGCAGGACAAAACAAAGCTGCCTTGAACCTATTGAGGAAGTCTCTTCACAAACATGAAAAACCAGATGATCTTATGTCATTGTTGTTGGCTTCCAGAATCTGCAGTGAGGATGCCCATCTTGGTGCTGAGGGAGTGGGATATGCACAGCGGGCAATCACGAATGCTCGGGGGGTAAACGAACATTTGAAGGGTGTTGGTCTTCGCATGTTAGGTCTTTGTTTGGGAAAGCAAGCCAAAGTTTCTTCTTCAGACTTTGAGAGGTCTCGTCTTCAATCTAATTCGTTGAAATCACTAGATGAGGCAATTGCTCTTGAGCGAGACAACTCTGATCTGGTTTTCGAGTTGGGAGTTCAATATGCAGAGCATCGAAATCTAAATGCAGCTTTGCAGTATTCCAAGCAGTTTATTGATGCAACGGGTGGATCAATACTTAAAGGTTGGAGATTGCTTGCTTTGGTATTGTCTGCTCAGCAGCGTTTTCCAGAGGCTGAAGTGGTCACAGATGCTGCTTTAGACGAGACTGCAAAATGGGAGCAAGGACCACTGCTTAGGATGAAAGCAAAGCTGAAAATTTCCCAGTCATTACACATGGATGCCATTGAAACTTACCGTTACCTCCTTGCCTTGGTTCAAGCCCAAAAGAAATCTTTTGGGCCTCTAAGGATTCCACCTCAGGTTAGATTCTGATGCTTGTTATGAGTTTACGCTGCTTCTCTATATTTTAGAGGAAAAAATGTTGTTCTAAATTTCACCCGGATGCAACACTGTCCATCTACTTGTTTGAAACCGATTGTGTGAATCGCCTCACATCATGATCTTTTTGACATTAACAGAGAAATTAGCCAACCGGATCATTTTTATTAAGTTTAATTGAATCCTAATTGGAAATGAATGAATTCTTTTAGGTATATTTGTATTTAGAATTAATTTATGGTTCTAATGTTTTGGCCTTTAGGAGTTTCTTTTGATTGTTGGATAATGATCTTCCTTTCAAGTAACTAATGAAATAACCATGCAATTTTGCCACTGGTATGTGCTGCTATGAGGTTGTCCTTTCGGAAGGATATATCGGCAAATGTTGTTTTGTCCACTTTCTAGAAGTAGGAAGGTGGCTTTGGTTCAAGTATGGGTTCTTTTGCATAGCAATTTTGTGTGATAATTGTTGCTTTCCAAAATTTTATGTTTACTTGGCATTTGATTATTTGTATTAAAATTCTTATCTTGGTTAAAACTGTTATATTTTACCTCCTGGTAAATCATTACTTAGCAAATGAATTATCATGATAAATAAATTTCTTTTTCATCATTATGTTATGTGGTTTTATGAGGCTATCTTTGCGGAAGAAAAAGGCAAATGTCGTTTTAACACTTACTAGACATAGGGAAATGACTTTGATTCAAAGATGGGTTATTCTGTGAGAATTTTCTGGCGGCGACTGATCTTTTTGCTTTCAAATTTTATTTATTTATTTATTTTTAAAATCCCTATCCTCCTTGGTATCAGTGTATCTCTTGGTTTATCATTATTTAGCAAGAAAAACATCATGATGAAACAATTTTGATTTCACCATTGATAGATTGCCTTTTGAATCATTTTTAGCCTTATTTTTGTGATAGGTCGAGGATGATAAAGTCAATGAATTTGAAGTTTGGTATGGTCTTGCAAATCTGTACGCCAGCCTTTCACACTGGAAGGATACGGAAATATGCTTGGGAAAAGCTAGAGCTCTCATAGAGTACTCTCCAGAAACACTGCATACAGAAGGCAAGACCCTAAATTTGTCTACTACAGGAACAAGTTTTTGTATAGATTTTTTTTTTTCTTTTTTTTAAGTTATACTCTTTGCTTTATAAATAAACAGTTAAAATTTTGAAGGTTTTGTCTACATGGTATTGGTTGTTTCCTTTAGGAAACTATCTCTAGACCAAGCCAGCTTATTGTGAGGGCTTAGATATACTGAAATGCACACTAGACATAGAGGACTATTGTTAATTTTGCTCCAACTTGCACAAATGACTAATCAGTGATAACCTAGTAAGATTACGTATATTTTTCCAGATTTTCTGGGATTTATCATTATATTTTAAGTGCATTTCTCATAACTTAGTAAGAAGTTGAGTCTCAACTATTGGTAAAGCTCTTATAGTTTCTTCACCTAAATGAGAACTTAAATTTTGTTTCTCTTTTTTAGGATGGTGAATGCAAATAGAAAACATCCTCATCCATGTTTTTGACAATTATTTATTTTTTTGACACCATCCGGTTGGCCTCCATCCTTGATCATGAAACAATGTGACATGTTTCTTCATCCATTGTGATCATTCTGGAGCAACAGTCATCACAATCTATGTAGCCCTGTGTTCTAAGGGAGTGATCGCAAGAGTTACCCAAACTAGACTTCGAGAAGGGCTGGGGTGAGGTCTTGATTGCTTTTCTCATTTTTATATTTTACCAATTTAGGATTGGAAGAATTCAATAGGATTTTCTATAGGCCAATCGGGGGGAGGAGTTCACGTATCTTGTCCTCTGGAATCAGGTGTGTAGGCCTATTCAATGAACTTTATAATTTGGTTGTGATAAAATGCTCTCTCTCTCTTTGTCCCTGACGTCGGAGTCCTCTACTCTGGCGTCCTCCACTTGATCTGTGTCTTTTCTTTTCGATCTTGTTCCTTTCTAGATCGCATGAAGGGGTTTGTGCAACGTTTGTAATTGGAGGTCGCAAAGATCCCTCGACTGCCTACCAGCGGTGAGGTGATCTGCTTGCGTTCAGACAGGGGACTGACTTTTAGGGTTGAAGATTGGAGCATTGAACGGAGAAGGGATGTTCTTAAATCATATCTGGTGGGTCGGTTTGATATAGAGGTAGGTTGTATTGCAAAGATTTCTGATTGGGCCTCATCGTGCTGGAAGGTGGAGGGTGGGGTTGAGGCTTTTGCGTTGCCGGACTCCTTGATCTTGTTCTGCTTTCCATCTTGACAGGCAGCAGAGAGGGTTTTGGAGTGTGGAAGAAGGGAGTTGGGAGATGCCTTTCTCATGCTTGACAACTGGGGGTATAGAGCGGGATGTACTGGTCTGTTGAAGGAGGGTTTCTGCCGGATCTTGGTCTACGGCCTTCCCTTGCATCTTTGGTGTGATTCTCTGGCAGAAGCTATTGGGGAGAAGTGTGGGGTTTCGTTGGGATGGAGAACGACGAGAGGATTGATCCAGAGAAGTTTGTTGTTGCGGTCAAAGATGGTGGATTCGTCCCAGATTTTGTGATCGTGGAGGATGAATGGCTTGCTTTCAGAGTTTCGCTCTCTGTAATAGCTCCTCCAACAATGGAAGCCACGGTGGCGTGGGCTACTCAAAAGGCTAACGCGCCGGGCCTTTTTTTAAAATGAGAGGACATGTTAACTATAGCAGAAATGGGCCTCCACCAACTTCTCATTCATCGGGCGTTCTTCCAAGGGCCCTAAGGCTGGGCCTAACACTAGTGTGCCACATCTTAAGGAGACTGGGGGGAGGATTACCTGCTCTGGGCTGGGTCGGACCAACATGAGCAGATTTGGGCCACTCCAGTTTGCTAATAAAGGTTCAGACTGTTTTGATGGGTTGGGTCAAAAAGGGGGTGAGCGCAGGCATGGCACAATTAATGAAGGCTGATACACGGACCGTCTGCAGCTATTCTGAAGCCTGATGTCCTTCATCGTCAATCCTGACCTAGTCACTGTAAATGGTCACGAGCAGATAAACAAAAATGGCTTGTGAAAGAGGCTGTTGTTGATGGTTCCACTGCGGGTAGGGCTTCTTTCTCTCACTCTGCTCCATCTTCTTCTTGTGTAGAAGGGACGAGGGCCTCCTATTGTCCGACCTGTTGGGAGGACTGATCTGAGCTCACTTACTGTTAGAGAAGATGTGGGTAATGAGAAGACTGTTGTTTGTGTTTGTAGGGACATTTGCATCACCCTTAATGATGAGTCGGCAGCATTGTTGCTGCAAGAACTGAGAAAACACAGATTGCAGGGAGACGAGCAGGTGTGTACTGGACCGGACTCTCAGGTTGACAATCTGGTGGGGGGTAGGAATAGCTCCATTGATTGGCTGTCTGGTGACAATTCTGAGCAGGGGTTGGGATGGGATGAAGGCAGTGTGAGATCGGAGCAACGGGAATGGCCTTGTGACGCCTTGACATGGGATGGGGCAGATTCTTCTGATTTGGGTTTTGTTGAGCCACTGGCTATGATGCCTCCGGAAGGGACGCCCCCGGCCCGGGGTTGTTATTGTCAAACAGTGTTTCGGTGATCAAGGGAAGGAATGGGTCATGTACAATATTGGGCTGACAAGTGAGTTATTGGGCCTCTCTTCTGAAGGCTTTGCTGATCCTTACGGAGACGGCAGAGGGAAGGGATGTTGGGTTGAAGATGGAAACAAATAGGGGCAGGAGAAGTTCTAGAAAGAATCCTTTTGCTTGGAGAGGGGAGAGGGAGGTAAGGAATCTCATTTGCTATGTCAACTATGAGGGAAAGGAGGGGGTGGGGAGGGAGAGGGGTAGAGGGAGGAGTAAAGGGGAGGGAAGCGCCACTGTTTCCTTATGAAGTTTCGAATCATCTTGTGGAATGTCTGGGGTCTTAATGACCCGGATAAGAGGAAGGCGGTGAAGGTGGCAGTGAGGAAGTGGGGGGCACATGTGGTTTGTTTATAAGAGACGAAGATTACTTCGTTATCGGATAAGGTAGTAAAGAGTTTGTGGGGTGGGAGATTTGTTGAGTGGGATACTCTAGAGGCTGTTGGGACTTCAGGGGGTATCATTGTCATGTGGGACAAGAGATGGGTATCAAGGGTGGATGTTTGGAGAGGAAGATTCTCTATCTCCTGTGCTTTTGTTTTGGAGGAGGATGGATTTAGGTGGGCTTTCTCCGGTGTGTATGGGCGATGGAGGATGCGGAGAGACACGTTATGTACCACGAGTTAGGTGTTGTGAGGGGTCTGTGGGCCCTTCCATGGTGCGTCGGTGGGGACGTTAACGTGGTGAGATCCCCATTGGAGAGATCTTCAGGAGGAAGGTGGTCTTCAGCTATGGAGCAGTTTTCGGACTTTATTGACGGCCATCACCTTATTGATTTGCCAATAGAGGGTGCTTGTTTCACTTGGGCTAGTGGCAGGGAGGATGGTATACTTTCTCGGCTGGATAGATTCTTGGTTTCTGGGGAGTGGGAGGAGCGGTTTCCGGATGTGGTACAGGTAGCTTTAGCCAAACCGGCTTCAGATCATATTCCATTGGTTTTGTATTGTGGAGGGATGAGCTCCTGGTGCACTCCCTTTCGTTTTGAGAACATATGGCTTAGGGCGGTGGAATTCCAAGGGAAAGTCCGGTCTTGGTGGGAGGAGGCTATAGTGGCTGGCACGTCGAGTTTTATTTTGGTCGGAAAGCTCGGTTCTTGAAGATTGAGATGAAATGGTGGAACAAGGAGGTGTTTGGGAATCTGAAGTGGAGGAAGAATAGAGCCCTTGCTGAAATTGTAGAGATCGATAGGTTGGAAGGTTTGGGTGGTACCATCAAGGCTCAGAGGAGACGGAGGGCGGAGTGTCGGGCAGAGTTTGCGGAGATTGCTACTTTGGAGGAGATATCGTGGCGTCAGAAGTCACGGGCGTTATGGCTCCAAGAGGGTGACCGCAATACAAAATTCTTTCATAGGTTGGCTAATGCTCACAGGAGGGGGAATCATATTGGGCGGATTTGTGTTGATGGTGTGGATATATGTAGGGAGGAGGAGGTCTGCATGGGGATTGTCTCGTACTATCAGAGATTATACACTAAGACTTACAGTTGGAGACCTAGACTTGGTGGCTTGCTCTTTGACTCGATTTCAGAGATGGATAGGGAGGGTCTGGAGGTTCCTTTCTCCGAAGAGGAAGTTCTGAAGGTGCTAAAGAGTTGTAATGGCGACAAATCCCCGGGTCCGGATGGTTTCACTATGAGGTTCCTACTGGAGAGTTGGGAGGTGGTTAGGGGTGAGGTAATGGGGACATTGCAGGAGTTTTATTCTTTTGGGCGGTTTGAGAAATCTTTGAATGCTACTTTTATTGCTCTTATTCCCAAGAAGGGTGGTGCCACTGATGTGAAGGATTTTAGACCTATTAGCTTGGTGGGGTGTTTGTACTAGTTGATAGCTACAGTTTTTGCTGCGAGGTTGAGGGATGTTTTTGATGGAGTTATTTCATAATCTCAAAATGCTTTCATTGGGGGTCGGCAGATCTTGGATTCAACGCTCATTGCTAGTGCGTGTGTGGACTCAGAGTTTTTTGCTTTATACGATGGAGAGGTTGGGTTTTGGGGTGAAATGGAGGAGGTGGATCGGGTTCTGCATTTTGTCAGTGAGATTCTCGGTGTTGGTGAATGGGGCTCCGTCTGGCTTTTTTTACAGTTCTTGGGGATTGAGACAAGGGGATCATCTTTCTCCTTTTTTGTTCATTATTGTTATGGAGGCTCTTAGCAGGTTGATGAGGAGAGCTGTGGATTTGGGATTCATTAGGGGCGTCAGGGTGGGCAGAGACTTGGATCATCAGATTGAGGTTTCCCATTTATTATTTGCGGATGATACACCGGTCTTCTGTGATGCTGATGTGTCCTAGATGAGATATTTGAGATGTGTTTTAGTTTGCTTTCGGGTTGTTTTGGGTCTAAAAGTGAATGTTGGGAAGAGTTCGTTAGTCCGTGTAGGGGAGGTGCATAACATTGATGAGCTTGTAGCGGTGCTTGGGTTTGGGATCTCCTATTTCCCCAT